GTGTGATTCTGTTCATACTTTTTAGGTTCTCTTTACAAAAATATTGCTAAACATTTGTTGTAGAAATAGTGCATTTTCATTGATGCATTCTTCATTTCATCATTAAAAACCAATGAGAGATTTCGATTATTTTAATTAATTTACATTAAAAGAACAATTATCTCCAAGTTCCAATTAAATGTTGAATGTTTGGATTTGTACTTATCCAGAAATAGATCATCAACGTAGTAGTGACAAATTGATTTTGAGACTTGCATTCGCATCGTATAGACGTTGGAACCTCAGGGTAAGATTACATCATGGGAAAAGTTTGCACCCAAACACACTGGAAAGGGTCACCTTGCAGTGAGTAATCACCCAAAAAGCAACAATTCTGTCTGTCAGGGAATCATTCCAGTCCTGCCCAAAAAATGTTAGCTTGGACAGATGTCATGATCACTGGGTCTGAAATGCAATCTGTCTTCCTGGGGAAGTGGTCAATGTAAATAATCAGCCTGAATTCTCAGCAATGCAACCTTATGATTTCATCTAAATGCATTCTAAAAACTCTAAGGCAGCGATCCCTAACATTTTTGGAACCGTGGACCAGCTGGAAGAGCGGGTTCCATGCATGGGGCGGGGACACCCCTGTGCTCACAGTGGGCATGTCGCACTTACAGGGGGCATGTCACGCTTGCAAGGGACATGCCATGCTTGCAGGGGGCGTGTTGCACTTGCATGCATGCATGCGAGCGTGACACCCCCCCCCACAAGTGTGACATGCCCCGTGAACATGACATGCCCCCTGTGAGCATGACACGCCCACCGTGCGTGCATGCAGGGGGACGGAGATCTGTCTTTGTGTCCCAGTCCTTGGAAGCTCATGGACCGGCACAGGGCTGCTGACCAGGGGTTGGGGACCCCTGCTTTAAGGGATGGTGGACTCTATATTGATTATTTCCTTATTTTGTTTTCTTGCATTATATTTCAGAAGAGATGTTCTACTCACTGAACAAACATTTTTGTAGCACTTTAGCCTTCTGGGTTTAGGGGGAATCTTCATTGCCAGAATAATTTGGTAGACTTTTTTATTCAGGCTAAAGTCATATGGACTTCAGCCTAAGTACAAAAGTTTTGAGTTGTTGTGTGCATCTGCCCACAGCTGTGAAAAACAACAACAAGAAAAGAAAGGTAAGTTATAGGCAGCAGGTGTGGGCGTGAAAGGAGGATGGGTTGGCAACCAGGCAGGCAATCTGGGGGTGGGGGGCCCATCAGGGAGGCACAAGAATTATGCTTTAATTTTTTTAAATTCCTGCTATCTGGTATAGCGCTATATCAGATAGCAAGAATGTTTTTTAAAAAAACAGTAGGGCAGTACACACATGAGGAATCAATCCCAATGAATCAATTGCACACCTGCTTCAAAATAAACAGACCTCTGCCAGAGAAGCAGAAAAAAATGGTCCCCTGGCACGTGCCCCATGTGTACTCTAAACCGGGTTGTTTTCAGCCCAACACAATTCAAACGACGGTGTTTTTTGGCACTGTTTGAGCCTTTCGAGACAGACAACCTGATCCAGTCCCTGCTTGATGCAGGAGTTTCTAATCATTACAATAAAGTGAATCAATCTATATGTGTATTGATCATTTTTGTACACATAGACTAATGAATTGTCACACTCTAATGCATATGTTCCAAGTATGGTTCACAGCTTAACCAAACAGAACTCTGAAATAGGATATGGCTGGTTCCTTTTGCAGGAAACAGACTGCTTTATCAGATGAGTTTGTTCTGTATACTTTTTTCTTGAACTAATCACATCCTTCATCTGTGTAGACAATCTGAGGCTCTTTGATTAGATGCTGCGGAAGTGAAGCATCATAGTCTTTTCACTTCTGCTTCAGGTGTCATGTTAAACATTTTGCCAAGGACTGGCATTCAGTGGGGATTGTATACCTCCTTCTCATCAAAATGAGTAAGAAAAAATGAGTAAGAAAAATATCTTCCAGGTTTCCATGCCAATTATTTTAGAAAAATCTAAACAGATATTTTTTATTGGCAAAATTTGCTTTTCTGTGAATTCATTTGTTAAAAAAATACGAATTTATGGAATCTTCATTTGTCAGTTGCCTAAATATGACTAAGAATATAAGCCACTGAAAAATATTATCATTACAGTGGACCCTCGACCTACGAACGTCCCCACTTATGGACTTTTCGACATATGGACAGCTCTGGCTGCAAGGTTTTGCATCGACTTCTGGCCGGAGGTTCAATGTACAGATGGAAAAAGGCAGGGGAAAAGGGTGGGAAATTCAAACCGTTGGTGGCAAAGAGGCTGCTTCTTTGTAGCTCTTTCGCCCCAACAGTTTGGAAAAGGGAGGCTCAGCCTCCTGGGCTTCCACCGCTGCTGCTACTACCGCCAGGAGGCGAGCTGCCAGACTATCCTGGGTGGGCTCAGCCTCCTGGGGTTCCAGCGCCATCAGCCCTTTGGGAGAAGCCGCGTTCTCCCCCGCCGCCTGGCTTCTCCACTGCTGAAACCACCATCAGGGCAGCCCTTTGGGAGAAGCCAGGTGGTGGGGAAGAAAGGCAGGAGCCGATCTGGCCTTTCTCCCCCCACCATCTGGCTTCTCCCAAAGGGCTGTGCCCAATGGTGGTTTCAGCAGTGGAGAAGCCGCATGGTGGGGGAGAAAGGCGGCAGCAGAGGTTAGAGTCCAGGAGGCCTCCTGGCAGCAGCGGGCACGGCGGTGGAGGTAAGGTGCTGCTTTTTGCTTTTTTAAAAACTTTTTTTGTCTTTCGCAGGGTGGGATTGGGCTGGTGGGGTTATGTTTTGTTTGTTTTGTTTTTTTGCAGCCCCAGGGGCTTGCAGTGTTTTATTTTTATTTTGGGGAGGTATTTTTTTTTCTTGGACCGGAATGGATTAATGGGTTTTCAATGCAATCCTATGGGAAATGGATCCTCAACCTATGGACTTTTTGACCTGCGGCCACCGTTCCAATATATTATAAAACTCTGCTCATTTGTTTAAGATTACCATGTTACCAACCCAGTTATTCCCTGCAGGTATGGAAGCTTCCTTAGTCAACAAGCATAAACTCACTCATTCTGATGAATGGCTAGGTCGGCATCTTCAGTGGAATGTGCACATGGAACTTTTTTATTGAATGACCTCTGTGACCATGTCTATCAAAGCAAGAGAGACAGACTGACAGGCAGACAGTATCCCTGCACTTCCTTTTAATCAAATATAATTGCCCTCCCAGGACCCGAAATGAAGATGTGAGACAGTGATATGGATTAAATATGGGCCACACTTATTAAATCAGTTCTGATTATAGATATAGTTGGCCTCATCAAATGAGGGGGGCCTGCAGTAGTGCGGAGAAAGAAATGCAGGGCATCCACGATACCCTTATCAGTCAATGGGTGAGTCCCAGGTCCCAGGTTCCAGCAGTCTTGACGACAGCAGGAACCTGGCCAGCCTCTAATAAACACCCCAGACCTCGAGCCATCTTTATTTGATGACTGTTGGTCCGAAAGTGGCCCAGCGCATCTTCCCGCTGCCAGCCCTGTAATTGCACAATCCACAGAGCTGGGAGGTTGGATGCGCTGTTGGCTTACCATAATTATCAAAGGGACACACTGAGACAACCAGTTTTTTCCCGCACTACCCGCCAGTGTGACCAAAAATAACCACCAAACAAAAGCCAACAACCCTTCTCCAGTGTGGGATAGGCGAAAAATCCCTCCATCTAATAGCCAATCAGGATAGAGGTCAGAAGTTCCTATCCGGCCCCACAGCTGCGACCAAAATCACACTAGAAAGAGGACGGGCGAGTGGGTGCCCAAAGAAGAAAGAGGACGCGTCGGGGGCGCGTGTTCCTTTAAATAATCCCTTGCCCCCTCCTTCTTTTACATGTGACCGGAGCTTGCCTCGCGTCCTCTGGATCTGAGGAGGGCAAACCTGGTCCTACAGTTCAAGGACATTGAAACATCCTTCCTGCAGCCAGAACCTATGCACAGTATGAGTACAAAACACCTTTACACTGAAACAGGGAGTTGCAGTACAAGATGGAAAAAGATGGGCTCCCAACTGTTAAAGCCCACACACACAACAAAAGAAATTTTTTTTCAAACCCTATTTACCTTCATATCTGTTGTCCTAACAGAAGCCTTAAAGAAACATAACAATTTTCACAACAGCCAGAACCTTGAGGACTAGTGACCCTAATAAAATCATAGGTATGATTGAAATAACAAATAACTTGCTTCTTAACACCCCAAATCAGCTGCTCCACTGCAGCTATGGTATAGTTGGCCAGCCCTATGGGTTTAGAGTTAAACTGTATCCTACCCAGATCCAGAAATACTTCTCAAGCCAAACTGACCAGCCCTTTAATTTATTTAAGGTTATGAAGACTACAGGACAGTCTGTTGTATAAGAAACTGTTACCTGCTTTGAACCACAAATAAACAGCACTCATTTCATTGATCTTATAAATACCTCTTCTTTTTTTTCTTGTAGGTTACTGATTTAAAATGCTGGTCTTAAATTTCAGGTTGTTTCCAGCTGCAAACAGTCACAGCATGTCTCCTGGGTTATTCTTATATTATTCCACATGAAATGCCTTTGCTCCCCCTCCCTTGCTGTTTCTGTTGTACTGGGAGCCAGGACTGGAATGTTGGTGGAACAGTGTAACTTTTTTTTACTAGCCCAGTCCTCTAATGATTTGTGGGTTGTTTTCAGCTTTTGAGACATTGACATGGATCATGCTGCCACTGCATTCCAGAAATATGTAGTTACATTCTGCACATAATACAGGTTTCATATTAGATTACCTGAAGGGTGGAAGTTGTTCTCACATTTTTGCATAATTTTAAAACCTAGGGATGTCCTATTTAAAGCCAGAGAAAACAATTTCCAGGAAAGCGTCAAGCTGATATGATATTGTGAGGGGAAGTTTAACAATGTGATGTTGAGAGATTGCTCAGAACTATATAAAGCTATGAGGTCAGGCTTTAGAAAACTCCACCTCACAATCTTGAGCTACAAGCACATCTTTTGGGAGGGAATCCTATCCCATAATGTACTCACTTCAAAAGGCTTGAGCAAAGAGGAAGCCACGCTGCAGCCTGCCAGCACTGCAGAAGAACTAAAACTCAAGAGAAACTAAACGAACCTTTTACTTGTGGGTAGACACAGTTCACCACTGGGAATGATGTTACGGTGGAGTTTTAAAACCACGTGGAAAAAGCACCTTTTCTGGACAGCATTCTGTGTGCTAAGCCTGCTGGGTGAGTATTTGCTATGAAACAAACATATAAAAATTGCTGGATGTCTTGCGCACAGGCAGAAAAGAAAGATGTGAATTTAGACTTCCCAGTGCTGTAGTTCTTGGGATATTGAGAGATGTTTTGTCTTTTGTAGCATATGTTTGTTAGAGAGTCTGAAGCTAAGTTTTATTATCTAATGGGCATAAAATACATGCACAGCCCCCCTCCCCCCCCAACTAGGGGTATGTAGAAATACTGTGCATTCTGCAGGTTTCTATAGCTATATAGTTACACTCATGGAGTGGCGAAGTACAGAAGCTTATCAAAGATATTCATTTTATTAATTGCATTGTAATGATCTATACTAGAGACCCCAAAGGATTGTTAGCAATCCTTAGAGGTTCATGTGCATTCTTTTTATAATGCAGAAATTCTCAGGCCATGTAACTAAAGGCAAATTCATTTGATAGCTTTACTAGTCATTTAAGCAATATAACCTGCTGCTTAAAAACCACTAGCCCTACAATTGCAAATTTCAACTAACTGGTAATTGTTGCTGCTATCTTTAAATGATGGCTTATTTGCAAATGATAATACCAAACCAATGTGTGTGTGTTTTCAGAAAAAAATTCTCTACTAAAACCACTGTTTATGTGTTACGTTTCCACAAACTATTTTTGAAACATATAATGAAATGAAAAGTTATGTTGGTACGTCTTAAGTTGCATGTGGAAGCAACATCCAACCTTTGTAAAATAGCCATTCTACTTGAATTTCTCTATAGGCAACAGAGCAGGAGATTGTACCTCCTTCAGATAATTCATTGTTGTGTTTCTGTCTTTTCATATCGAGTGCACTTTTTAGCACTCCTCATAGTACCATGTTTACACTTCTCTGAAGCTGATACGGCATGGCATATTTATTTATTTTGTAGCATTGCATTGGCTCCTCTTAGTACTAAGTCCTAAAGACTTTAGATTTTGCACTCTTCCTTACAATTAAGTCAAAGTTCACAGTGCATTTTTATTCGCCACCTATATATCACATAAGACAAATATGTGTTCACCTCCACTTTTTCAGGAAAATATAGTACCCTTACTGGAAATCTGAGAAGCTGGTGTATATCCACACATATTGTTTGGACATTCATGATGAGGTTTTATGCTTTACATTTACAAGTGACTAATTGCACCTGTAGCATCTACAAGTATCAATCAATTCTTCTAAGAAAAAAAATGTGCAGAACAGTTTTTGAACTTTCTTGAGTTTTTTCATGGCTATAAGGAGACTTGCCCTCTTGTATATGCATATCAGTTGATAAATCAAGTAATTTATGATTTGAGCAGAGGTGCAAGGAAAACTAAGTCAGGTCCATTGCTTTAACATAAGCAGCATTATGCTCTCAAGATAGTACGTGACTTTCTGCTACCCCAAAAGGAAATACATAAGGTGGAAAGGCACATATACTATCACAGTGATGGGTTATACTGGCTTGTGTTTAAACTGGTCTATAATACTGTAAATAAAAAAATCAAATTTACTTTTTTCTAAATTATGTGAAAAAATCTTTGCAGCTGACATTCTAATGCTCAAAAAATGCTGTAACTACATAGTATTGTTGGTTTGTTTTCTATTTCTCCACAATGTGTGGAATTACTGCTCAAGTGCTATACTGAACTATATTGGACCCTTTTGAAAAGTATCCTGTTATTTGAAGAGCAAATTAACTTTTATATTCTCTAAACATTACCCCAGTTTATAGGTTTCATACCTGAGGGAGTAAGACTTGGAAACAGATTTACAAGTAGATGATTCTGGGACACCTAGACATTCAGTTGCACTGTATTATAATTTTCATTCATATTCCACTCAAAGGCTGAATGCATCTCCTGATGGGCATGAAAGAATGCATTCCTAGCCACTAAGTACATGTAGTATAAAGTGGGATTGGGGCCAACATAGAATCCCTGTAACTGGTGTATTTTTTATCATTAGAAGATGTATACAGAGTTCTGTTCTGGCCTCCTGTCTATACCTGGCAACCATTTTCAAGAATATTATTTTACACCCGTGTTTTGTGTTCTCCAACTATGTTAATAATAGTTTACTTTCTTAGACATGTTGTCTGAAAATATGTGCATGACAAGACAAGCACTATGTTTTAACTGAAGCAGTGATGGAATGCAGACACACAATGTTTCCATTCTTAGTGTTTAGTTTCAACCTTATTAATAAGATTAAATATGCATATTTGAAGGGTGGGTTGTTTTGAGTGATTACTAAAGCCAGTAATTACTCAGCCTTGGGCTGTGAACATCCCAGGTCTCCCCTAACTAAAGCAATGAAAAATCAACTAGATAACTGACTGAATGTTTTATCAGAAGAATATACTTGCAAGCTAACCACATCCCTAAAATCTCCACCATCTGGGAGAGTGCATTTCTGAGAAAGATGCAAACAGAAACAGAGATGGTTTAGAGTTAGCTCAGTTGTATAAAGTTAGAGAATATGGGGACCTCCACATATTAAACTCCCATCAGACCTATTTAGAATACTTAGTGAAGGAGTATGGCAGCTGCAATCCAGCAACATCTCATGTTCCCCATTTATGACCCTGAACTGGTGTGTCTTACTGTCCATTGAATTGTGGTGCTAGAGGAGGCTCTTGACAGTCCCCAGGACTGCAAGGAGAACAAACCTATCAATTCTAAAGGAAATCAACCCTGAGTGCTCACTGGAAGGACAGATCCTGAAGCTGAGGCTCCAATACTTTGGCCATCTCATGAGAAGAGAGGACTCCCTGGAAAAGACCTTAATGTTGGGAAAGTGTGAAGGCAAGAGGAGAAGGGGACGACAGAGGATGAGATGGTTGGACAGTGTCACCGAAGCAACCAACATGAATCTGAACCAACTCCGGGAGGCAGTGGAAGATAGGAGGGCCTGGCGTGCTCTGGTCCATGGGGTCACGAAGGGTCGGACATGACTAAACGAACGAACGAACTGTCCATTTCATTTGGAGGTAGAAATGAGAGGTGGCACCTTAGTTTTTAGGTATTTTTTAATAATTCATAATCAAGCATATGGGGAATTAGGACTGTACTACTGGAGGTAACCCTGTGGATAAAACACAATAGGAACGGGATTTACCTTTTGTAAGGCCTTCCACTGCCATAATTAGATGAGACTCCAACAGGCTGAAGTATGAAACTGAAAGGCCTTAAACCAACAGGAGACAGAACAGCCCTCTGACCAGTTCCCATAGCACTTCTCCATTGAATGGGAAGAAAAGTATCCTGTTGCATTGTGAGACTTGTGTGGATTCCCTGTAATTTGCAATGGTACATGGGAAGGCAAGTTCCAATGGGGCTACCTTGGTATTCTCACTAAATTATGGGAGTGGACGTCCTCAAGATACACAAGTTCTACCACTACAACTCATTTTACATTGTACAGTATTTTAAATGAGATTTTGTTGAAACGGTGATCAGCTTGGCAGTATTTTTAGACTTGTACCAAATTCCAGTATGAAAGTCTAAAATTTGCTCTCAAAATTACACATGCCATGGCTATACTTGAGTTTGGGTAGGGTAAACAAGCAGAGCAGTCAAAAGAATTGTGTCTCTCCACACGTGCAGTGGACATGCATTTGGGAACTGCTCCCAACTCTAACATACATTGTATTAGCATATTATCTGCATATTTACAGTTCATTCACCATATATGTTGACCATATCAACTAAAAATTCATGAATAACCTTTTTGGTTTTTCGCTGACTTGTGCCCCTGGGTTTTAATTTGCATTCATCTTCTACAATCAGATTCACTAAGTGCTCTATTGATCTGATTCTGCTAGATTCTGGAAGATGTATAGTATACAGTGAGACACTAAATTATAAGCTCCTACTAAATCGAATGAGAATATAGCTTTTTTATGGGTGTCACTCCCTCAGTTGTCATGTGCATGCCTTCAAGAACAAGGGTGTATTGAAAGCATTTCATTTCAGGCAAATTTCAAAGATGACATTATAAAACAGGCTATATGTGCTATATAAAACATTATTAGAATGCCGAGAGATTAATTAAGAGATATGTTTGACTTAGGCCTGAAATCATGGAGGACTAAATGGCTGCTGGGGATGGAGTGTGCATGCAAGTCTCATCTGCCACATTCCCTCCCCAGGAGTCAGCCAGACCTTTGCCCATTTCATGCATTGAACTACATACACTTATAGTGCCATCATAATTGCGAACCTTGCCTCATCATGGATTAGCTAAATATCCTTGCTGGCTCATATGCAGATTAACATATTAAACACATGAAATTCTTGCTGCCCTTCTGGTGTGCTGGCAACCAAGGGACAGTGTTTTACATACATGACCACATGAAAGCATCCTGTGATTATCTTGACTGCTGCCATTGGTGTTGTCAGCAATTGCTCTAGACCTGAAGCTAACTTCCCCCTTGACGCCTTGTGTCAGGAGCCTGGTCTCAGAATCCTGACAAAATATTTACTGAAAGCATACATGGTTGGGACAAACACAACTGCTTTGTGCTTTTGAAATGCAGAAAATGTTTGGATATACTTACAAAATTGTATACTAATTCCTTGGAGATGCATGGCAAAATGGATCTCAATTTCACTCTATTACTTTCTTTAAAGCAAACTTTTTTTGTACTCTTTTGACTGCTTCTGCAACCTTTCATTGCCCTCCAAACATCTCCCTTCCCCACTTGTTTTTGCGGGGGGGGGACAATTTTACTTTTTAAAAAAATCATAACTTGAAAACCCAAACTTCCTGAGATTTGGTACAGAGCAAGAGCAGACTGTCTGCTATGTCTCTGACAAATTTGGTGCTAATACTGTTACTGATAAGCTGGTTCCATCCATGGGCCATATATAAGAAAGTCACAGTTTTATCCTTTTAGAAAGGCCTTTGTTGAAGATCAGTGTTTTAGCACCTGCAGCCTGGATTCCTTCTAAATAAGAAAGGGGTGGGGCCAATAATTCTCTTTCAAGATA